AACGTTCATCAGATGTCTTCTATATTTTATATAACTTGCTTTCTTAGATAATGTTTATATGATAAAAAGTAAACACATGGTTTCTTGGGGATATGGATTTCATCAATACCCTGACCTCTTCAATAATCATACATGAAATTAATACTTATCTTCGCCTGTCCCTGTATTATCCTCTACACAAMAATGATTGACAGGAGAAAGACAGTGATTTTTGTTTATATTCCAGGGATTTGATGAATACATGAATCTTGTCCTGGATGAAGCAGAAGAGATCCATCTTAAAAGCAAAACACGAAGACAACTAGGTACAGTATATAAGCCAGTATTACAGTTAGCTCTTGTAAAGACAGAAAAATACTTCATAAATCAGATTTACTAAGATATATATTCACCAAAATGAATAGCCGACCTGCGAATTTTGCCTCGGTAGTCTCATACAAAGGAATCAAGATGAGGTGCAGCGCATAAAGCTCATCCGTGGAAGGACAATAGTTTTTAGGATTGCGCACAACACCTTGTCTTGATTATTTTATGTTTCACAACTGGATTGAAATTTGCAAATCGGCTATGGTTTTTCTTCAGTTCAAAAATTGTAATTCTATTTTATGCTATTATCTATATTTATTTTTATTGCGTTGTATATGTATACAACACGATGTCCTGAGTAACACCTGAAAATTATCTTTTTAGGTATATTGTTATTATTGTTATTATATCTCTGGTGTTACTTTCCTAAATGTTACATGTCCATATTATTTATGGTGCACTAACAAGCAAGGTTCTATGTCTTTGCTGCGTGTTGYCTGTGCTAAGTCAAAAAAGTCATGAAATTAGCTCTGTCTATTACATGTATGTACAGTGTTTAATCTTATATGAATATGTGTTTGTCTTTTACAGGACGTATACTCATGAAGGGTGATAACATTACACTGCTGATGAATGCAGCACCATCTTAAAAAACACCATCAAGKTTATGTCCCATGTGCGTGTAATATACTGGCAAACCATCTAAAATATACTTTGGTGTAGAAGTCTGATCTGGACCAYCGAAAGGCCAAAAAACTTTACATTCTAATACCTTTTTTACACCAAATTATAGAAATGTTGTCATATTTAACATATAGTTCATACAAGCCAAGAGTGAAATGGACTATGGAATACTATACATAAATTAGTATTTAGCTATTTCAGCATTTCTTCAATTTGAGATACTTTCTCAGCCAACATGATCTACAATGCATGATGTAATTTTTCAAAGTGATGCWTGTATCATCATACAATTTGTGTGTAGTTTATTTGTAAAACTGTTTTTGTTGGCTTGCTGTTATGAAATACTTTTATTCATACATTATACTTAAATGTATTATACAGCATKGTCCTTTTTTAAAGCAGATTTTCTGTAGAGTTTCTGATACAATATCAGAAATATAGCATTCTCTATACATGTAAACATGTACCAAGCATTCCTAAGGAAAGTTCTTTCAAACACAAACTTCTTAGACACCTTTTTCAATTTATGGTTAAAAAAATGTTATTTTCTTTACGCAAACAAATATAAACAAGTGTAACTTAGTAAATAAAGTAATTTTGAATGTTTTCAGTGTCTAGACATTCTTTGTATTCAACCATAGCCTTGTCATCAATTGTGTATTGAGGTGACCGGTCTCTTCTGTTACTTTGCATGAATCTGAGCGAAACAACACGCCAGTTTTGACCTTTAATGTAATGCAAAATAACTGCAGTTCTTATTAAATGATTTTGATGCGAACTGTGGAGGTGTTTAATTCCTTGTCCGCAATGATACGTTSTCGAAACGTACTTGTATTTCCATCCACAAGCAAGGGAATGAAAAACAGTACGTAAACGCAACAGAGTGGACGAGRCAGTACGTTTCCGTATGCATATACAGAAATTATACGTTTTCTTATCAAAAATATTTTGATGCGTTTAAACAGCCTTAAACGTTGTTTTCGGTTTTTCGATAATTGATAGGACTAAACGCATGAAAAAAGAAAAAGAAAAAAAATGCAAGTTTCAGCCTGAAACAGTTTGTATGTTCGACAGAAACTTGGATAGGACTGATGCGCGCCCCTTTCCTTTTTTCTAAGGTGTCGACCAGGAGTCAATTTGATTTCATAGTAATTCAAATCTTGATGATCTTTGCTCTGATGTCTTTCATTTGTCTTTAAAAAAAGATACATGTATTTACATTCAAAGTGTTACGTGAACGAAAATCATATGGCTCCAGCCCTGGATCCGGTTGTTTTAAACGTCTTGTAACCCATTTCAGCTACAAGCGGATTTCTTTAATTAACTGATAGTGGGCTGATAGGTCTGTTTTTATACTTTTTGAGTTTCGTTTTCGGAAAAAAAGGAATAATGCGATCAAAACAAAGATATGTTTAAATAGTTTTATTTCTTGCTGGATCACGAAAAGTTTGTTTCAAACGATGTACAAAAAGCCCAGTGTTGTCAAAGTCAAAAACGCTTGCTTGGCTTGCGATTGTAATACACATCTTGACCTTTAGGTGAGATATTTTTTAACTTTAAAAGTCAACGCAAATTACTATAGATCGATGATTCGTTTACACTAGATCTCGTGGGACTCCCGTAGCAACGTCACTCAAACGCACGCATGGAACACACTTTTTCCCATATTCTATTAGTATATATTTACAGAGTCTTTATGAAATATGGCTTCTCCATGCGACCAGGTCAGATGGYGGAATCCCAGTTTTATATTTCTTGTTGTCAGTAAGATGCGAGAAGTAGTAACCGCAMGTTGGCTTCCCAAGCGTGGAAAATGGTGCCAGAGAGTTKACATACTTAAATCGTGGATCCGACCGCCTTTGGACTTTCACTCCAGCYTCRAGTTTTCTGAGTAAAGTTGGTGTTGAAGTTTTGGACGTAGTTGATGAAACTGTGCTTGATCTTTCTGTCTTTATCGCCGGTGATAAGTGCCTTGAATAAGTCGATGAGTASACCGCATTGGAGCCTTCTTTATCGAGCTTCATTCTGCAGCAAGGATTTGTTGGCAGCCACACGGTTTTAAAGTTTTTTCGACATTTTTCGCACTTGTAAGCTTGTCCTTGAACTTGCCCGGTGTTTGGCATTGCGTTGCACTTTAGATGACCAAGMCAATGTTGGTTTTTATATTGTCCAGCTAAAGTTATTGTTTCTGAAAGGCGCCCTTAGGCCTTACTTGACTTTGGTGTTCGCGCACGGTCAATTATCTTTGTTAATTAGATGTAAATTTAATTGGCCATTGTTTAGGGAGCTGGTTGAATTATGACGTCACCGCTAATCGATGATAATTGAATTTACAAATATTGCATTTATTACCRAAAACTGGTTTGTACTTATAAAAGATTAGATGAAACAATAGATGCACTGAAGCGTAATGTTATACAAACAGAACAGAAACTACAGTTTCTGTTTCTCTGGATTTCTCTACTCGTCTCAAATGGCGTTCCTTTTCTCTTTTGTCCTGGTTTTTTTCGTTCGTTCATTCATCCATTCATTTATCATATCAATATTTTTCTCTTCTACTTCTGTTGTTCTTTTTCCGTCAACTTTAAACTTAAAAAATGAAAATTCTATTCATATTTTTTTACTGTATGTTTGTTTACATACGAAATAGATGGAGAGATAAATCAATTGAACAAGTAAATATCTAATAATGAATAAATATTTTTTTTTCGTTTTCTAACAAAGTATATTTCTCCCCATTTCTTTAACTTTGTAAGACGCGGATTCCCTGTGTGTCCTACCACAGGTATCCCAAGTTAGGTATACATGTGGTCCCCATCATTTGCTGAAATGCATGTAACTTACTGAACCAAGACATTTTTATGCGATTTAACTTAAAATTCACTCATATTTCATCTCTTTCTCTTTCCAGAACAACAAGAAACTCAACAATGAACAAAACAATCACATTCCACTCGCGTGTCAAAGCTCCATACAACAAATTTTCAAACTTCTACGAGGTCGATATCGAAATGGCGGAAGGAATTTTTCCTTCAGTGGAACATTATTTCCAAGGGATGAAGTTTATMCCAAAAGACCGCGATAGATTCACAAAAGGAGGAATATTTGAYAAGCCAGCTGCTACTAATTGGCCTGAAAGTGTGTCCAAAGGCGTAGTAGCAAAGTCTGCAGGCTCGAAATCAGGGACATCGAAACATGGAATGACTTTGACAGAAGATGCGTTGGACCAAGAAGCAGCCAAAATACGGATGAAAARAGCTCTRCRAGTGAAGTTTAATAAGGAACCATTCCGTACTTTGCTRYTTGAGACTGGAGATAAACTGCTTGTACATATTCCTATGCGAGGAAAGGTGGATTTTTGGACTGGGAAGATTGATAAAGAAACTGGTGAACTTGTAGGTGACAATACTATGGCGAGCTTGCTGATGRAGGTTCGACAGGAATTAAGAGAAGACGAGGAAAAGTGATGCTCTAGCTTTCCGTAAGTACTTGTTTTTTCTTTACCTTATTTTTGTTGTCTGTCTGTCTGATTGTTTGTATTTTTCATGTTATTGTTGTCGATTTACTTATTATTATTAGTTGTCATTCATATTTATTAGAGTGACGTCATTAAGTTTATAAAATGTATAAAGTGTTTTAAGGACAATTTAGACGGTACAACTTTTGCCTACAACTATTGCATGCAACATGCCTTTCATTAAAACATGACTACAACATGTTGTAAAGATCAAAAAACATTTTTGATAACCCTATGACAGTTGTAGCTAAGTTGTAATGATGACTTAGGCATGTTGCTGACATCATAAATCGGCCTTTAAAAAGTGTGATAGTCACATATACATCAAAGAAAAGAATGCTACAGCCCCCYTTCTATATTCTGGTTGACTAACCGTGCAGAAAAGAATTGAAGACGAGGCTATGGGAACAATAGATTTTGTTTCTCCTGAGCCTCATTGTCAATCTTTTGTATGCATTCTAAACCAGAATATCAAAATTGGTATTAAGGTACTTTGCTCAATTTTCTCAGCGACTCTCATAGTGTAATGTGGGTATTGCCTCTCAATCTTTTTTAGATTGCTTACAGCATTATTTACACTAGAAATAGGACTCAGTTCTATCGCTTTTGCAAAATCCATCCTTTGAACCAAATGAACTGTGACTTGTTTTTGTTTATCAGCCTGGCTTGTGCTTTTTAGATGTTTACATCTAATTTTAMTAAAATTAAATTTATTTTGTGGTGCTCTTGCCCATAATGGCTAAAAARTTTGAAGCCAATAATCCAGCTCTCATTTTTAGACAGTGTGTACAAATGTAGAACTATTTTCTATCTCAGAAGCTCAATACAAGGTGCTTGTCTTGATGCACTAACTATGCTTAATGTATGTCCTAATGATCTGTAAATGGACTTGAGAACTTGATTTTCACTTTATGTTATATGTTAGTCCACTTTSACATCAAAGACAATAATTACTTATCAATTACAGGTGCTGTTAATGAGCAAATATGACACAAAAAGTATCACTAATGCATATATAACTTTTTTTGGAACAGCCGAGAATTGAACCTTTTTTTAAACACTGCAACATGCAATTTTCTTAGAAAAAGAGCTTACACTTTTSTGGAGGTTATTTTGTGAAATCTGTAGTTGTGCATTTGAATATAACTTATTCTTAATTCATTGCTAGATTTTTATATATAAGTAAGTTAGATACATGTGAAATACGACGTGTGAAATAGTTATTAGAAGAGTTTAAAAATGAAATCAGTCAAACTGGCATCATTCTTTATAAGTTGAAAGTTCAATCTCAAAATATTTCAACGCCAAGATCCAAAAGTATTATCTGACATGATACAGTCATGAAAAATCAGCTCTTTCGTTCGGTCCTCTATTTTCCGGTCACCCTCCATTAATCGGTCAGTCATAAGCTCCCTAAATGTCAATTCTCTTATATATTTACTGTAAACGCGACCTCTCTTAAACGGTCACTCAAGAGTTCCCCAAAAGTCGATTCTTTTATACTGTAAACGCGACCTCCATTAAACGGTCAACCTCTATTAAGCGGTCACTTGGTCTTTTCTTAAGTTAACCGTCTTAGAGAGGTTGGACGGTATGTTGAGGGTTTAGTAAATCACATATACAACTGAGAAATTGTATACAAGTCAATAATTTTAGCGTCCGTTTCTAAAGTGCTTTTCTTTTCTTTTAATTATAATCTCTGTATGCGGAGCTGTGATTTTTATTACAATTTCAAAAACATTAAACATCCTCCCACGGCAAATTCAAATCATAACCTAAACATTGACAACTTCAGAAATTGCGATTGTAATCTTTTTGGTTACGGTTAAAATATGCCATTTTCAAGAYGTTTTTAAGTTCAAAACAACAACAACAAAAAAATATCGTCCCACGACAAAAACGCGCCATCTCAAAGCATGTCAAAGCCATATTCAGTCGCAAATAACTTCTACTTTAGCAGCTTTTGTGGCAGCTTCCGATTTTGAAAGGTTTTTATAAATGATCTTTGTGCGCGTGTAATTAAGGATAGACTTTTAGCCTGAATCTTTCTACCGAAGCACAATACATGGAATTGTCAGTCTTTGAATTATGAATCGCTTTCAACAATACATTTTAGTACATTCATTGTTTCAGTAAGCTTTAYAGCCATTAGTTATGACCTGCTAATAGCCCCACATGCTAAGCATTCTGATCTTCGAATACCTTAGAAAATATTGGTCGTTGTTTGATCKAAGCGATGCTAATGAATATATCGAGCAGCTAATAGCCTTGCGATAATATAAAAGTACACTTTGGTCTCCAAATGAAGACATTTGGCTGCGACTTGGCAAGCAGCGAATAGAATATAACTTGAAGAGTTTTTTAATCAACGAAGTTGTCACAGAACTGCTTCACGACTGGTTGCTAATGTGTACAGAGTAAATATTCAGTTTAGTGAGAGAAACATTGAGTCAAATTTACCACAGAAAACAAAAGAAGAGTTCAATTTTCTTTAAAAAAAACCTCGCGCAATGTCGGACGAAGGATATGGCAAGGCTACAATGTATGTGATTACTGAAAAAGGCCTCGAAGTTGGACCTTTTGTTTACGACAAGRATACAGATAGCCGTGTTGTCTGTTCAAATAAACGCCATATTTACCATAATCACAAAGGAAACGAAAGTCGAATTGTTGAAGATTTGGATTTAAATTCACGYAAAGGATTCATCGATGATAAAAAGGTGAAAGTTGTCGACCTTGGAGCCGATTCCTTTCCCTCGGATGGCATCAGTAAGGAGTTTATCAGCCGTCATGTTCGGGATTTGGAAAACTGGGGACTCATGTCAGGTAATTTTAGAAACAGGATTGGTYTAAARAGTGGTAAGATAAGACTAAACACAGCTGATCAAAGCAATCACGAAAATAGGCAAAGAGAAGAAGACGATTTAGACTTGGAGGCCATTAAAMGATTGCTTCAGAGCAAGAAAGAGTTGGATGATTGGTCTAAGAAAGCATCAACTCCAGGAAAAACTATCGATATGTCCTTAACTGGGAAAAGACAGCTTGTCTTAAGGAGATTAAAAATCAAAAGACAAAGTGAAGTTCTTTTGGAGGAAATTGCAAAACTACGAGAAAGACGTCCAGCTTATGATAGAGAGCATATTCATCGCGGTAGCTTTTTAGGAAAGGACAAAAATATTAGATTTGTGAAGCATGTTTTTTATCCYAATTTAAGGCAAAACGCGGATAAAGATCATGGTCAATCTACGCATGTACAATTACCAGCCCTACAGCAATCTGGTGCCAGCGTTACTAATGATATTGTACCAAAAAGTGATCAGAAAGAAATGAACAGCACAGGAAATCCGTCACAACGACAACAAAACAATCCATCAAAACGAAAAAAACAATCCAACCGAGAGAAGTTAGTGTTCTTGAGCCCGCGAGTCCAGTATAAACACAGTAAAGCGGAATTTTCAGCAAAAATGAATATCAACGAATGTAAAGTGAACAATACAACACCAAAGGTGCGTCTTCCAGCGGTTATTGATCAAAGGACAGGCGAAATGCACTCGGTCCCAGGAGTAGTGGCTTTTCGACAGAGTGACTACAACAAGTGGTCAAGAAGAGAAAATATCATACGAAGAGAAATTTTACCCACAAGGTCACCTTCGTTAACTTATGTGAGCTTTTTACCATCTGTTTCTGGAAAAGCTAAGCATTGACTCAGTGTTACTTGTAATTAACATGAATTCTAATATTTCCTCTGTGTTTACAGTCAATTGAATAAATGTTGATAGCCTGAAAACCTTAGAACATGAAAAGTTGCGACTGAAAGGGCTCATGGGAGCGCAATTTCCCATGTGCCCTTTCGGTAACACTGGGCACGTGATCGCGACGTTTTGACCATCATGTAACATCAACTGCATCAGTTTTAACTTCAATACTCTCCTTGCAGTGCGGCGAAATTGAAAATATCCATCGAAACCTACTTTTTGATTGCTCTAAACTTCTATAGTAAAGTTAAATTTTGATCACCCCATGAATTTTGCGTCAGTACAGTGTCACCTCACAGGGAACGTTTAACCAGAGGGATTTTACAATTACTGACTGTACGACTTTTTGCAAATATTGTCGCAGCCCCCACACAAAACAGCACCGYTATAGATCTGTACGAACCGCTGAACACTAGCCTCCTTTCTAGGTAACTCTATACCAGGGTACTCCTGTGTCAAGGCAGAAAATCGGTCGGATTGGGGAGGGGTTTGGAAGGAAAGGAAAGGCAGGCATTATTTCAAATCTCTTTGATTGATTAACACAGAAAGACCAAGAAGAGAAAAAATCTGTTTCAATGCCATGTTTATCAATACTGTTTAACTATAATTCGCCGAAGCAATTAAAACGGACGTTTAATATCATCAATATTTCAATATATCCAAAGCTAAACAAGTCCCGTATTAGAAAACCAATWAGAACTAATCCACAAATCAAACAAACAACTTAAAAAAATTCACATTTAATAATCAAAATGTGCGAAAAGTCAACATAAATTCAATCTTCCGWACAGTATAACACCTTGTATTGTGTKAGGGATTACTGAAAAACTCCTTACAATGAATAATTTTTTGACAACGTTATGCCATGGTGATTTGTTAAGCCTTTTGATTATTATTGACTCCAGGCGACCCCTACTTTGTATTAGCAAACACAARCAATTCACATAGTAGTTCATTGGTAATTGAGATATTCAGCATCAGTGAAATAGCGTGGTCTTACGTATTTATTGGTTTATCATTCGTGGATGACARTATTGGAGGTTATCGTTTGCACCTTTAGATAGAAATTGAGGTCTATACGTTGAGCGGCTTTCAGTACAAAACACGTAAAGATTTACGTAACGTTCACCCGTACGTTGCTGTTGCTGTATAAGTTAGTTTGGTTTGAGAACGCGAAGCAAACAAGTATTAAGAATTGAGCTTACATTTAGCTGAGGAACTGGTATAATTAAAGAGCTTGGAAAGTTCTGCTGTGCCAGAGACAACCGACTAAGTGCATTGTACAGAAAAACGTACATATTTTATAGACTATACTACAATTTGAATTGTCATCTATGATATCAATGGCACGAACTGCACCCTTATCATTACGAAAGACCTTATCAGTACTTTTAAAGCAAATACTTCAATATCTGAAGACAGSCCACTGACACATCACTGTACAAGTAGATTTGGTTTTTGTACATCTGCCGCATCCTTCACGCTGTGATTTGAAATTTGTTGAGTTTTCTACAGCCAACCAGGGACTTTCATCTTCAAATTGAAAAACGTGAAAGGGAATTGAAAATAATATTGCCGGTTGGAAGTATTATTAGTTTTAATTAACAATAAGGTGCTTCTCCAGATGGTGGTTATGAACTTGTACAACAACTAAAATACGCGTCTATGAAATTATCTGAACATCGTCCTATATTTTAAGGAGCAAGTTTGTAGCAGTAAAGACTGTGATATATAAGTTGGATATTGATGGAAATATTCATTGGGATGAATAAATCAAATGTGTTTTGAAAAGTTAGAGACCTCACTGGGACAAGCAGCATTCTTCGACAACTGGAATAATTCTTCTAGATAATTTATTTGCAAAACATTAGTTTTTTGTACGTTTATTTCGAGAAAGAAACATTCATAGACGTCTCAAATTGAATCTTTTTTTGTTATAAATCGAAGAAACGTTATCTGATGTTGCTCATTTTGGATAACCCAGCTCGTTGTCAAGCAACAGGAGACCGACGTCCAATGAGATGCAAAGCAAGCTTCATGTTTTTGATGTCTTGGACTCGTTAGAAAGACGCCTAAGGATCTATCGGGAATACATATTGTATCATTTTTATAGTTAAAACAAAATCATCAGACTTTCCTTGTTTTATTGGGTGTTTTATTGAAAAAACTATAGTCAAGGAACAAGCTGCCAACAACAACATCATGGAACTGTATCTACCAYTAACTATAGACTTAAGAAAAGACCAACAAAGCTCCAAAGACTATGGCATTGACCATATAAATAAACTTTTGGAAGAAGAACTGGCACACCTTAAATCATTAAAAAGTCAAAAACATAGAGAAACTTTGCCGGTTWTAAAGACAAATGATGTTAAGTCTGACCAAGTCGAGGGATTAAAGGATTATAAGAAAAGAGTCGAACAATCAAAATCAAGAGGTTGTCAGACAACAAGAGATGATAGAACACTTGACAGTAAGACTTGTATTGGACCGTTTTCAGAGATAAGTCATGATTTCACGAGAGATGGACGGATTACTGGCAAAGGAGAGGTACCGTTCTTTAAAGTGGCTGCTGATAGAACTTCCTTATCTTATAGGTTGCCTAGGTTACTAGATTCTCAAGTGCCTAAGACAGCTAACTATATTTTTAATTATAAGCCTCAAACTCCTGCCAATCAAAGAAATCAAAGTCGGAAAACCGAACGGACGAAACGATCTTCGGGAARACTCGTCCCGCGTTCGCAAGGGAAATTGTTTAAAAACGATTCCTTCTCGAGCGACTCCGATCATGATGACATTACTGATAGTCTGAAAGTGAATTACTGTACGATCACGCCAAGGCATTCCTTTGAGCAAGAGAAAGAGGAGAAATCACAGAGAAAGGAATCAACAGTTGAAAATAAAAATTCAAATAAGGTTTTCCACTTAGCCTGCACAAGGAACCCTTCAAGATATCAACCAATCAGAAATGAGGACAGACAATGCTCTTTCTGCGCAGCCTCTGTAAACATTCACGCGCGCACTTCACAAAACCAAATTGTGAAAAACGGACGTTCAAGTACTAGGAAGCTAAAGACCGCAGAAAAACCTTTTCTTCCTCAGATTAAAACAGAAATAACCGCCAAGAAGGAAGAAGTGAGAAACGAATGTGAAAAATGCCGGAAAAGATTCGAGCATGCAGAGCAAAATAGGATATCTTTAGCTTTAACTAGTTCCCAACGTAAACGCGAAGCCTCTAACGCTTCAATAAGGAAAGCCAAATCAAGGCCAGTAACGAAAGAACGAAAACCCGTAGAAAAAACGCAACAAAAAGACGCAGGTGTGTTGGAATGCGCAGCGTACGTGCATGAAGATGGATCATTGTCGCTTCTACCAGGGGCGTTTATTTTACGTAAAAATGACTACAACGTGTGGTCAAGGAATGGAAAAACCTCTGAACAGAATTTGACTAGTGATTCGAGTTTACCTCGACTTGTGCAATAACCCCGGCGCAAAGTAGACGTTTTTTTACCATTTAATTTGGCGCTGAAGAGAAAACAGAGTTTCTCCTTTTACTTTGCTGTGTAATCATTCGTATTACGTGATGAACGTGTTGAAATGCATTAGGAATTCAGTGGCAATTCAAAATTTCACGACGAATTTTGTATATTCGTAGCGTTCTTCCTTTGTAGTTGGTGTAGTTGTAAATTCGGTTGAAGTTATTGAAGAAGTCATTGTTCTTGAACATCGCAGTTTTGTAAATTTTTGAATGTGTGCTGTACCTCATTTGAGAAACATGAGTTCTCATTTGGAAACATGTATATTCAAAATATCAAAACGCGTTATCTTAACGTTTGCTACCCGCGGCAGTCAGGACTTTTGCATGAAACTGTCACATGGTACTAAATCTACCATTCTGGATGGCAAAAGAATGTAAACAATCTCAAAACAAAAGGTACGCAGTCGTTCTAAGTCAACACAAATACAGTACAGTTTACATTCAAGATCCCTGTGTATAATATATACATCTAACTCGGGCTTCCTGTGTGACCACAATATGTCAAGCTTGACTTTTATTTGTTTTTAACATACCAGTGGCTATTTTACCATCCAGTATGGCGGATTTAGTACCACATGACCATTTCATGCAAAAGGCCTATTGACAATGGCCGCGTTCCTTTTTCAACAGAAGATTTCCAAAACACGCGGTGCTTGAAAAGAAATCGCAGGCATCGAGGTATTTCCAGATAAAATATAAGCGAGCTACTGAACGCTGGCTGCAAAACCTAGATCACGTGCGCGCGCCTGCGATATTTTTGAAAGCGTCCGCAACTCAGAAATCCTGTGTTCTTCGAATACTCCAGTTTCGAATTCTCCAGTGCTCTGTGTTAGCCTCATTTGTGCGCAAAATATTCCTTATTGTTAGCGTAAAAGTGTGAGATTTCAAATCAAATTTATTGTCTTTCTTCACAAAATTCCATGCGTTTTCTCGAGCTATCAATGAAACAAAAGAATATGTTACTTGGTTTTGAGGCTAACACAGAGCAAACCACAACTCGAAATCGGAGTATTCACCATACGTCATAGCTTCCATCTTGGAGGAACTTTAACAAAGGATTTCTTATTAGTATCTATTGTTCATTCCTTCAACATGGCCGCCAGTCTTTTAAATTTGAATCTCATAGTAAACGATCAATTGAGTTTGATCTTCTTGAAATATTCTAAGACCAATAGGAATTGTGGGAAGTTTCTAAATTAGGTTTAACTAAAAGCTCAATGTTTTCATTTTGGCGTCACGTATCTCTTCTGCGTTATCGTGCTGTGATACTGTACAATCTATAGTGATCCGCCCATTAATACATCTGCCGAAAATACAATATCATTTAACAATCGTTACATATCAGTTATAGTCAAAAAAACTGCTGCGGCTGGTCTTCCAGACTGACTATTAGCAGAAAACTTACCAACGAGAAAGTCTCCAATTCGCGGCATCCTAAAAACTTGGTTCGCAAGTAAGTAATAAATACAAAGTTTTCGCATTTTTAGTATAGGGATAACTAAAACTCGAATGATTTATAATGCTAGAATTTTCTTACCCTGCGTACCTATTGCAGAACTGGAAAGAATTTCATTCCATTCAATCTTGAAGCAGATTACGTGTAATTTGTATTAACAATCCTCGTTTTAGGGTAAAAAGTGCTCTAATTTTAGAATTTAAGCTGAGGAGATAAACTCAGTGCACTCTTTAATGGTGAGTTGCGTCAGTGTTTCCAGTAATGACAGTTCTGATAAAATTATAAACAAACAACGCGAAAAGAGGGACAATTACTGTCTTTTGGACGTTGCTCCTTTGGCAAAGAAGGTCTAAAGACGTATGAATAGAAACGACAGCAATTTTTTAGCGAAGGAAAAAATCTATTTCCATTTTATGTAAAAAAAGGTATAGAAATCTTTAATTTTATTATTATTATGTGAGATCCATAAAGCACAATTATCCGCAAAACTGTCCATATGAGCTTAACAAATGAGAAAAATTCCAAATCGTGAGAAACTAAAAAAAATGCAACAATATAGTAATACTTATAGCAATCACTTCAATGACAATATATACAATATAATACTTTTTTAAATATTTCTATATATACATGTACTTATATCCGATGTTTCAATGTATCAAGTTTCAATTAAGAAATATTAAACGGCGCGCGAGTGTTTTTCAACTCCGATCCCACCGTGTTTATATCAGAGGACAGATACATAAGCGGCCGTTTTATATTTCTTTTATAAAATTTTTCTTCGTTTTTCGAGCGAAAAACAAATTTTGCCAGTAAGCCGTTTCTCTGTCCTCTGATATAAACACGGTCGTCAGCCAATCAGAGCGCACTGGACCCAAATATATATCAAAAATTTTATAATATATGATACAACTCAATGAACATGGCATTCCATTAACAACTGTCCGGCGGCCTTTGATACAACTATGGAAAAACGATATCAAATGCCTACTATAGTTGCCTAAGGTCGTGTAAAAAATGATAAACTAGAAATGTAGAAAGGACGGACCTAGATTATTTGAATTCTAAATATAGCTGTTTCGATAAAAAAGAAAGATTGCACCCCGTTCAAAGAGAGGAAATACTGGACGAAAAAAGTAGAAAAAACATAAGAAACATACGTAAAAAACATGTAAAGATATCCAGTTAATTGAGACTTGTGTTTTTGTATGGAATAAGAATTTTAAATTGTTTGATATTCTAAAAATCTCTTTAATGTATTATTATTACGTTAGAACTTCTATTAGGCGGTAAACTTGGGGAATAAAAGACCAGTTGACCGCTTAATAGAGGTTGACCACTCAATAGGGGGTCGTTTAATAGAGGCTTGACTGTATATGAGACTTTAGGGAGTTATGATTGACCGGTTCGTATTGGAGGGGGGACTCTAAATAGATGGTCGTTTAATGGAGGCTCAACTGTACAACTGTATATGGGAATCGTCTTTTGGGGAGGTCATGATTAACCTCTAAATAGAGGCCGTTTTATAGAGGTTCGACTATAAGTCTGACTACTTTTAAATGCTATTAGTTTTTAGATCATTTTTGATGGCTGTATTTTTTTGCTTGATTAATTTGCTATTACAATGCCAGGCAATACCGACTAGGTATGTTTCAGGCTGATATGTTTTTAATGCACTTACATTTGCTTAAATGCTATTAGTTTTAAGATCCTTTTGATCATCCGTATCTTTTTAGTTAAATTAATGTGCTCTTAAGTTGCCAGGAAAAGCTCACATTTCATGCTACTCATTATTTTTTAATTTTCTATTTTTTTCAAATTCTTAATTGTTTGGAATCTGATCGGACCCCCAAAGCTATCATCTAATGCCATTCATATCGCGGCAAGCTTTTATCGCATTTTTTTAATGCAATTTTTTTTATATTCCCCCCAAAAAATAGCTATGAACAACAACTATTGAAGCAGCAGTATATGACGTAATTAAGGTGCTTATAAGGGTTGGTGCTTAGCGTGTTCTTAAGCATGTTCCATGATATCTAGATATACATGATAGTCTTGTATAAAGTGTAGATCCTCCTTTAGCTAAGTACATTAATACTAAGGTTCTGAAGTAGCAAATCAGATAAACTTGACACGATTACAACGTAAAATCGTGCTTCTTCAATCACTCTTCATGCACTGGAAAAAATGGCGCTCTTCGAAAGTTGTAAGTTTTGTGTAAATATGATGTAAATAACATTTACATACATTGTAAATTTGATGTAAATGTCATGGAATTGATATTTACACGAATTTGGACACTTACAAAATATTCACATCAAATTTACAACATGTACAGCGTGCGATTCTTTCTTTCCAGCCCGGAACTCTGTTGCTGCCCGGAGCAATGTAGCACTTTGTCTAATTAATTGTTAGATAATTAATTAAGTGTGTTTATGTTAGTTTTCTAATAAGAGTAGCTTTTATAAAGCCGTGATACAAAGTATAACAGCCAAACTGTAAAAATGTCTTATGAACCAACAATACAAGAGAAAAGTGCAAAATAAAGGCAAAGAGTAATAAAATTTAGTATGCTAAGGGTTTATGAAAACAACTGGATTGTTTGTCCCGTAAGTGCAATTAAAAATTGTTATCTTTTTCGATTTGCCAATTTGGAAAAGCAATATGATTTTTCAGAGACAATTTTCTTGAAGGTTTGAAGCTCGTTACATTTGTCGCTGACACCTGTTTAATTAAAAAAAATCTGACCGTACGCAATGACCTTGGCTGTATTTTCTGGAACTAATAACGGAAACTAAGTGAAAAAGAAAGATACCATCAATAAGATTTTTTTGAGAACTATCAACCTTCACTTTGAATAAAACTAAATTGTTATGACATAAAAATTATACAGTCAACTCTCTCGCAAACGACCACCTCGGGATCAGGAAAAAGTGGTTGTTTACGAGAGATAGTCGCTTACGAGAAACTTGTTTTCTACACTGGAGTTTATATATGGGAAACTGAACAAAACGGGAAATTTAAAAGGTGGTCGCTTACGGGAGATGGTCGTTTACTAGAGTGGTCGCCCAAAGAGAGTTAACTGTGGTGTGTTTGTAAATTATGGGATGTCGCCGCAGACATTTGGTTGGAGTTGCCTAGTACGAGTTCTTACTGAATAAATATCAGTGATGGTATCCCATAATTTGTAAGTCCACTTGAATATATTTGAAAACAGGAGGGGGAGGGGAGGGGGTAAAGTTTTTAAGCAGAATTCTTTCTATTAACAAAAAGCAAACCTCTGAATTCAAAAGAGGCTTAGTGAAAACCTCCAACCCCTCGGAACCACCGCTGATTATTGCACATACGATGATAACGAGCAGAAGCCAAAACAACTGTAGTAGCATGGTGACTTAAAGCATTTCAAATTCCTTCTTTTTTGTGTGTTTTTTTTTGTGATTGAATAAACTACTTTAATCATTTGTCAAATCATCTTAACCGCTTTCTCATCACAACGTTCATTAGATTATCGATATTTTTACACCAGAAGACAGACATATTAGTTACGAAGATGAAAATTAGAGCTTATTGCTTTAATTAATCTGATTTGTTACAGAGACACCGTGGCACTGTCTTCCGACAGGCTGTTCACTCAATATACTTTGTATCAGATTCTTGGACAGAAAATCATTATCTCTGACAGTGTTATTGCAATGACAACGCACTTTTCATTTTCCTTATCGACTTGAAATTGACGATTGAATATTTTTTGTCAATGTCTAGAAAAATTCAAAATTATGTTTCAAATTTTGTAGCAGAAAGTTTGGAAGTAAAATATCAAACCGCATTAGTTTATTCAGGGATTAACTCTTTCAAATATTATTCTATTCCTCTTCACCTGAAGCACAAGATAAATATGACATTGCTTTATAGGTGTTGCGGTACCAGGAACAAAACAACTCGAAATAACTGCTGTCAATAATTTCTATCCCGCTTGCAGGCTCAGCTATAAACTGATACCATTTTTTCAATACGGAATTATTTATCAAGTATATAAGAGTGAAACACAAATGGAAGGATTTGCACTCTTTCAAAGAGATTTCCGTTTCCTTATAAACTAAGTCTTCGCTGTATTAGCGATAAAACCTTTCGCAATATGCACGTCATTACTGAATAATACATATCATTTGGATGCCATAAAAGCTACAGGAATCATACTTTGTTATTCGTGAATTTAATAATTCGATGGTGATAGTTTTAGTTTGAATCATCTGTTGGTAAGTTTGCAAAATTGTTGTGTTGTGATAACATAGATTCATTAAAATACAAGTTATATATTTTTGGACTTAAAGAACTGAAGTGATTTTAGTGGAAGTACGAAGAGTAAAAATATTCCTCTTCAAATGAAAATTTCCATCTTTCCTTAAATAGAAATTTCAAATACACAAGACCTTATCGATCTTTTTCTGTTAATATAATACGAAGGTAATAATAATAATAATATCTTTAATCCTTAAAATACCAAAATGATATATAGGATACAAACATCAACTTAAACTATAATATAATCAAAAGTCTATATATTTATGTAACAAAAATTATATGTAAAATTATATATTATATAACATGAAGAAAAAAACAAAATTCTACGTTATGAAATTATACAATGGTCTTAAAATTACTAAACACGATATCTTAAAGAATAGTGATTAGGGAAATAAAGATTAACCGAAGACTTTATATATTATATTATAGGCTAACAGATCGAGCTATATTTTACTTCATAAGCCAACTATAAGTAAAAAATGTGTAGGCTTTTCTCAGTTTTATAAGTTATTGATGCAGATTTTATTAAAATAAGTTAAGTGTATTTGAATAACCATATAGCTTAATATATTATTAATCCCAAAGCATTCCGTAATTTCATTAGAATGAAAACATTTTCAATGGGACTAATGGTCAATAGCAGGGGCGAATCCAGAAAACGTAAAGGGATGGAGGAAGGGGGTGGGGGGGTATACACAGATTCTGTCTGTATTTGCTGGTTTTAATGACTTAGGACTATCCCAAAAGGGGGAAGGGTACCCTCCTTGGATACACCTCTCGTTACAAAGGGTTGTCAAGTTTTTAATATCGATTAATATAGATTGGTATTGCATGGCCCATTGAAAAGATTCGCCGAATATGAAAGGATTCACTCAAAACGGTATTGAAAACGTTTGACACATTTAATTTCAAAAGCTGTAAAAGTACGTCCTACTCTAACAATAGTAGAACCCTAATTTGTAAAAAGTATAAATCCACTTTAACATGTAAATTCAAAAGGGAAGTTATGGCTTTTCATTAAGACCAGTGCTTATCTAGACTCTCATTAGTTGTGGTAGAAGTTTGTTTATGACATATACACCCTTTTAATAAGTCCCGAGGTTTTGTGTTCTCCGCACTTGACGTCAAAWTTATTCTTTTGAAWTTTTTACAATACAAAAGGAATTCAAAAGAATAAATTTGACCTCAAGTGCGGAGAACACAAAATCTCGGGACTTATTAAAAGGGTGTATAGAATGCCCAACATCTCATATATACCATCCAGCGAATTGTGTCTCCAGTAGTAGTCAAATATATTTTATCAACAAAAAAGAAAGCAATTAAGACTCCGACTCATAATAAACCGAAGACAATAAACTCTGTGGTAATAACCAAAATATAATAAAGTTACCAGCCTAAATTTTTAAAGTAGACGCAAACAAAATGTTTAAAACCCTTTATTCCCGTTTTTTTATTACCTCAAGCGAGGTATCCCAACCTTAAGGTTATTTCGATCTTTATAGAATATATAAACTTTGTTGTTGTAGGTAATTGCATGTTGGTCATATTTACTTTCCAGAGCACATTTAAGTGACATATGCATAACATCTGTGTATTTCAAAATAGTCGAACCTCTATTTAACTACCCTCTATTTAGCGGTCACCCTCCATTTACCGGTCACTCATGAATGCAAAAGTCGAGTCTCACAGATATTTACTGTAAAAGTGACCTCTATTAAACGGCCAACCTCTATAAAACGGTCACCTGGTCTTTTCCCTAGATGAATGTTGCATGCGTAAGAGAGGCTCGATTGTAGAAGGTATTTTTGGTGTTTCCAGTAAAAAATAYTCACGGAAGACTTAAGGTAACTAGGAGCAACTTAAGTTTTTTGATGCCGGTGGTATTTGCAAATTGATTTTCAAGGAAGTTTTGCTCTTTTAGTCTTCTGAAACTCGAGTTTATTCATTTATACTTGTTATAAATGGCTTTCATCTTGTTTTCTTCTCAATCTTGGAAATGAACCCCCGGGTGCTGCAGGGAAATTTCCYTATCAAATTTAAGTGACGCAAAGCGGTAAATATCCCCTCCCCCCCTCGGGGGTAATTATCTGAGTCGGGAAAAGGTTATTWAGAACAGTATAGGGTGTCTAAGATCGTACTTGACAAGTAGATGACGTCGTTTAATAATTTTCTTGGATATAAACATATGACTTAGAGGCGCTATTAATGACGGATGCTGAAGAAGGAAGAAGRAAGTGTCAAGTAACATTGAACTGATTCATCTTGTCCACTCTCAACACTCTGCTTAAAAGAAATCCGGTAGAAAAACATCTCAGAAGAAAAGATATTTTTGGTCAGCAAATTGGACAAAAATTGTTGTTTTATGAGCACTAAGTTAAGCTAATTTCATCACTCTGCTAACGATATAGTACCTTAAGCGAAAGTTAGACGTAAAAAGGCTATCAAATCAAGGTAAAAATGCATGTTATTCTTGATTGCAGTGACGATATCAACTCTTCGTAAGGGAAATACCCTAATGCTTTGATTAACACTGTATCTGTGTATTGTTAATCTTTGACTCTAACACTATGTTTTACGGGCCTATCCAAGAAAGCCACCCCATTCCATTGTTTGTATTTAACTGACTATTACAATATTTTATATATTATTTTATTCGGGATGCTTATATCAATCATTAGTATCAATTATTAGTTCTTCGTGAGATTCTCGAGCCTTCTTAAAATGCGATACCTTGGTACCTCGTATTTAACAACTATTACAATATTTAATATTTTATATAGACTTAGTAAACGTATTCAGGAGACGACACACATATTCGAATCTCCTGAATACTTTACTAAGTCTATACCGCTCTACACAAATGTGTATTGAGCACTATTCGTCGGTGTTTACGAAAAATCATGACTATTATTATTAATATTTTATATATTATATTATTCGCGATTTTTATATCAATCATTAGCATCAATTATTAGTTAGTGAGGGTCTCGAGATTTCTTAAAATATTAAAATAAATTGGTCAATTTTTCGATTCTTTGTATWTTTGGTATGGTACAGAAAAATGTTTATGTTAATAATTGGTTGTTCGATTAGCCAACGCGACGCAATAAACAATTCATAATTACTATATTTTTCACCGCTGTTTGTAAAGTAGATGAAAGTAGTTTTAGCCGAAGTTGAATCTATAAAGTATTATTATGTTATATTATATAACGAGGGTGTCCTACTGGGAACTATTTTGGGACCTGACTATTAAACGCCTATAACGAAGCCAAGTGAATCTTTATCAAGAGATTCCCATTGGGCACTATATTGGGAAGTGACTTTTAAATGCCTCTCACCGAGATAAAACTATCTTTACTAATTCCTGTTTTCATAAACTGCTTTAATTTGCTTCCTCCGTTGATGACTTTGCGTCTATAAATATAATAGGACTCGTCATTGCTATGTCATAACATTGGTTTTATCTTAATCCTCTCGGATTAGCCCAAGAGCGCGCTGTATTTCGCCGGTAGACGCTGAATAGAGTAATTCTTGTCGAACTTGAAAATAAAATCACTATCTTGTTGTCACTAGTTGATAAAGTAGACAAACAACTGGAGGAGTGAGAAGTCTTTACTGGCTATTCTTTCACTGTCGACCGAAGAACACTCTAAAATATGGCTTTTTGTAGTTTTATCAGTGGTTAAACTGAAGTAGGTGGTAATGTCGGCCTCGTGTTTTCCAAACATCGATCTCTTGTACTTTATTTCATCATTAACAATTAACACTTATTTACTGGAAACCTCGGGAAACAGTATGTTTTGTGGTCCCTCGACCGCTGATGTTTCCCTCAGCTTCGCTTCGGGAAACATCAGCGGTCTCGGGACCACAAAACATACTGTTTCCCTCGGTTCCAGTAAATAAGTGCTTTATTATCATATCAAGTGTCAAAGAGAGCAAAAAACGTAAATAAATGAAGTGTTTTTATTAAAGATTTTGATAAAATGACTGAAAATGGCAATACAAATAGTCAAATGTCAGGCTAAAATCAATCAATGTAATAACACAATGAATACAATAACTATTTGTAGACGAAATTAAATGTTTCAAAACAATTTTGGAATTCACCGTCCGTAAATGTGGCATTTTCACGACACTGAAGAGTGTTTTTCTGCGACTTTTGTACTTATTGACGGTCCACAACATATTATTGACCGCTGGTGGACAGTTGCCGGGAAACAGTAAAATTTTGTGACTTTCACGTGGTACACTCTCGACCAATAAGATACTAGGAAAAGTGAACTTTGACACTTGATATATAATAAGGCAATTTATTGCGCAGACACAACAGGATTACTTGCGTTTTTGTTCGTTTCAGGGATACTCAGAATGGAAATATTCCAGCAAAATTTCACGGCATTAGAATACGAAAAAAATGCGTCGTTGCTTCATTGATACACCGAACGAGAATTTATTTTTGTTTTTATTTTATTAGCTTTGCCCTGAAGGATACACAAACTGGAAAATGCCGGAAAAAGCAAAAGAAACCGGCTTCAAGGAATTCTTTTAATTATAATAGCAATAGCTCAATGGAAAAATTGCGTCAAGCAAATTGAAAAGGGGCTTCCAGAATTTTTCTTTTTAAGGATAACTTGACGTACAAAGACGTTTAATCTTCATAAATATGTATGAGGTTTATCACGAACTGATGGCAATGTAAGATATGTTATCACAGATAGGATATTTCTCCAAATGAATCAAAATTCGCTTGATATAGGTTTAAATCTTCT